GATTTTAACTATCCATATTATTTGCTCAAAATATTATTTTTGCTCATTTTGGGGTAAAAAATTGGAATCGGACGAGATTTATTAATTTTATTACTCCCTATTCAGTATACGTGAGTATCACATTTAGAAGGAGTATTTCATATCGTTCTTTGTTCCAGACTTAGTTGCAGGTCCGTCATAAAAACTATACAGGGCTTTTCACGATAAGCGTTAATTAGATGTTTCTGGCAAACCAGGCAACGGATAAAAATCCGAAGGTATGTATGAATTAACATGATCTACACGTCTGAAATATTTGAAACAATCCGGTGTTGCCGCTTCTACTCGAAAGTAGCAGTAACTTTGATTTTTCAAATGGGACACCCTGGATGCTTCCTGAAGAGCTGATTTAATCGATTCACAAAGTTCAGGGTCTAGTGGGACTAATAACTGAGATATTCAGAGTGAGAAAAATCGAGATGTTTCAACTTTGTAATTATTTTGCGAAAATATTTATTATTGATCAAAACGGCTTTTATGTCCCTATCTTGAGTTTGTATCTATTGACATTTAATCGGAACAAATACAGGATGGTTCATAATTCAGATCTCTGCACCACCCTGCATCGGTTTCAATTGAATATCGAATGGAAAGTTGAGATAGGGACATTGAAGCCGTTTTGACCATGCAATAATGAATAGTTTCAACACAAAACATTTCTAAAGTTGAAACATCTCGATTTTCCACATTCTATATTTTAGTTATCAGTCCCGCTAGACCTTGAATGTTTTGAATCGATGAATTCTGCTGTTCAACAAGAATCCAAGAATGTAATGAAATATAGGGTGTCCCATTTGAAAAATCGAAGTTGCTGCTACTTTCTAGTAGAAGCGGCAAGGCCAGATCGTTTCAAATATTTCAGTAGTGTAGATTATGTCAATTTATACATTCTATCGAAATCTCAGATTAATCCGTTGCCTGGTTTGCCGAAAACGTCAAATCAACGCTCATCGTGAAAAGCCCTGTATAGTTTTGATGACGGACCTGCAACTAAGTCTGGAACAAAGAACGATATGAAATACTCCTAGATGTAATACTCACGTATACTGAAAGAAAAAGTAATACATTTATTAAATCTCGTCTGATTCCAATTTTGTACCCCAAAATGAGCAAAAATAATATTTCGAGCACATAATATGAATAGTTAAAATCGTCTGTGCACGAATAGAAAGCACATCGTTGAATAGAAATTTTGATGTTCTTCTCAGATATGGCAAAAAAATGAGAAATTCGAATGTATAGGGTGTTGTTTTCTGGCAGAAAGAATTTGTGAATCTTAAGTGAAGCCGGACCAGGATTTTATCTCTTGTTGTTGCCTCAATCAATTCCACAGGGTAGATTGAGCAAGTGTACCAATTTTTAAGAATATATACAGGTTGGTTGGAAAGTTATGAGACAATGAAGATATGGACAAAATTGATGAAACATCCTGTATCTCGGTTATAAGAATAAGTCGAAGACCCATTAACCATGGGTTTTTTTAAATCACCGCAGTGACCCCTATCCACAGTTGAATTATTTACCTTTCCCAATGAAACACCCTGTATACATATAGCTCCCTTAGGAGACATTTATATCGACTCATGTTCATTTAGAACTTTTCTTCCTATTTTTGGTCGTAGAAGCCGCTGGTGAAGTTTGGCAGGCCAATTTCGGGACACCCTGTATACCTTATTACGAGATCCCAATATAGTGACAGATAAATGTGAATTAAATTACGTATAATTGAAAATAATTGCTCTCTAGATTATTTATACCATCGATTCTTCCCAAAATGAAGGCAATGCTTGGTTATATATCAAACGGTTCATCCATATCTACAAAAATAATAATAAAAGCCAGTGCCTGCATAATCATGTTTATGAATGATGGGTAAATTTGAGACGTTTAAATTAGGATCAAAGCTGATAAATCCTTGATTGAACCTCTATTACGAAAGGTCAAGGTAATCTGCCTGCTATAACTATGACACTTAAACCGGATATGTCTCAATTTGTTATTGGCTCACCAATATTATTAACGATATTTCGCAAAATATCTCTTTGTATTTGGTAGTTATGGGAATTACTTGACTTCAATGCTGAATTGCTCAACTGCTAAAATATATTTGCGCCAGACCATAATATTTTTGAAACTGGAAACTTCGATCGTGATGTCTGGGAATGGATAATTTTTTGCTTTACTATAAATTCCCCCGGATCTTTGAAATAATATTTAAATGTTGGTAAACATCGTAACTAAAGCATGAGGATATTTCTTGCAGGTATATTCGTGTTTCACTGTTTTCCCACAATCTTGGTTCTATGAAACCAATTTTTCAATACGGCGCTTACGGTAAATTATTTTCCGGAAAACCAAATTTTGTAATTTTGCGGTTGAATTTCCATTTTTGTTAACTATCCGTATTTTTCACTAAGAATGGTTTGGAGATTTTTGATCTTGTTCGTATTTTCTTCACACCCATCATTGTTGTTATTTTATTTCTCAATAGGTAGGTATACACTCGTTGGAGAATAATCTATCGCACTTTGAAAAAGCTATAATTATTTATTTAGTCAGTGCTTTCAATTCATCAGTTAACATGAACTTGCTATTTCATGAGTTTTGAACAAATTGATAATTCGAGTGAAAACATTTCATAAGTATAGGTATGCAATTATTGGCAGTAGGTTTATATTTCAGTGAAACAGAAACTATGTAAAACATTTTTATTTGAAACAAAAATGCATATAAAATAAATACAATCAAAATAAGTAAGAAGATTCAGCTAATATTATCATGATCTAAAATTCTGAGTAAGGCAACTGAAATCAACAGAATTTACAAAAATCGACAGATCAGAAGTCAAATATGTATGAATGTACATGCGATGCCTACAACAGGTCACGTGCACATTTGCCTGATTTGACAGATGACCGATCCTGGAGGTAAAACAATAAACCACACTTTTTTTTTGTTTACATAGGATTGAGATAGTTTTTCACAATCATTTGGGCATATGAATCGTGTTTCTTGGTATATTTATTTATCCAAGCATGCCATCACATTGTGTTATTGTACAATGCAAAAAAAATGTAGCGAGATACGAAGGAATACGATTTTTCAATTGTGATCTAAAAGACTGTACCTAGTCACTCACATTTGGGACCATTTTTTCAATAGGAGCTAATGAAAAGTCTTGTGCGGTATCTAAAAGAAGACAAGGAGCTTGGATTCTTGTAATCCAACGGGAGATCTGGTTAGAAATGCTGACATTTGAGGAATTCTAGAGAGAACTGACTATGGTCGTGTGTGTTGTAGACATGTTCACTCTGTTAGCTCCTATTGAAGAAGGAATTCTAAAGAAGTGACACATTTTCAAAGTGAAAATTATTTGAGTGGATACAGTACTTTTACCATAAAAATCTCTAGTCCAGTCTCGCTGCATTTTTTGTGCATTAAATCTTTTGTTTTCAGAGATGTGAAAAACTGTTGGAATGAATAGTTGTTTCAAACGACCCAAACTTTTATTTCGTGAAGTTGCTTAAAGGGTCATTCGTTTTTCCGGAAAGGACATTAACTTTGATTTTTTCAATGGAACACCCTATATATTTTTTGACATTTCGATAGAACCTTTTCTTCTGATTTCAAAAATAAATATGAGTTGTATATTTGGATGTTAAATAATTGAGTTATTGATTATCAAAATTTACCAAAATACCGAATCTTCCATAGAAACTGTCTATTCATATTTTTTTGTATTGCGATTGAACTTTTTCAATTTCATAATAAACAATACTATGACATTTCCATGGAGCTTGAACAATATATAAACGTTAGCCCATAATATTCAACTTACATTAGATCATATAGGAGTGAAGGTTCATAATGTGGTATTTTGGTAAATTGTGATCATCAATAACTCAACTATTTTTCATCCAAATATGCAGCTCATATATATTTTTGAAAAACGAATGACCCTGTATTTGGAACAACTTCACGAAATAAAAGTTTGGGTCGTTTGACACAACTTTTTTATTCAACATTTTTTCATATCTCTGAAAACGAAAGAGTTAAGGGGGGATTCCATCTCAAGAAGCGCACCCTGTACAACAGCACAATGTGATGGCATGCTTTGAATCGATAAATAGCCCAAGAAACATGATTCTTATGTCAAAATAATTGTAAAAAATCTATTTTAATCCTTTCTATGAAAAAAAAAAGAAAATGGAAATCCAAGATCAGGCTCCAATCCAAATAACCTTCGGCATTTATTGTTTCCACCAAAGTTTTCACGGCCTACTAGATTTCCCACTCAGCACCCACGAACGACTTATCAGCCCGACCCTCTTACCGGAAACAAACAAAACAATACAAAAAAATCATCGAATCCTCACACATTTTCCAAATTGAGCTTGAACCAGAAGAGTTCTCTCCTCTTCCATCTTTCTCTGCAATTCTACCAACGTGACCGCATTGAAATATAGAGGTCCGATAAATTTTTCCTTGTCTAGTTTGTGCCACTGAACTAGTTTGGTGTCAAATTAACGATATCAACAAAAGATGTCAACATAAGTATGATATACTACTCATATATGAATCATAGCTGTCATCAAAGCGGGACCAAATTCTGTCGCTATAGGTCACGAAATCGAACAATAGGCGCTGATGCCGACGTAGGGAAAAAATAATAGGAAACTTGTCAAACCAATATGGCTGTTCCCATCCTTCCCTTTCCGTCCTTATAGATTCTCATTTTGGTCTCATTTTTGGTGAGATATCGTATAGACGATGCGCTATATATAGAAATAGTACATATACCTGGTTATTTCATTTAACAAATTTGAAAGGTTATCAGTCAATGATATTTATGACAAAGACATATATATAGTTTGGTTAACGTACGTTGATATTTAAGGTATACGTGAAGGAACGTGAGATAACGTACACCAGTAAGCCCACTAACAACCCAAACGTGAAGAATTGGAAAATGAGCATGCGTAGCTGTCAATTTCTACGTTTACGTTAACGTTCATGACAACACTTCAACTCTCTAATATCGTTAAATTTGACACTCTGTTGAATTGAAAAATAGTTCAGTGGCACAAAGTAGATGTTAGACAAGGAAATATTTATCGGACCTCTCTATCAATGCGGCCACATTGGTAGAATTGAAGAGGAAGAGGCACTCTCTCGTTGATGGTAGAAAAGAGCTTAATTGTCCTCTGTTATGGAATTCTCCTCCGCTAGGGCCTTAGTACTGGAGGCGGGTTGCTTGAATTCGCTGGCGCTGCCCGGTTTGCCGGATGGGGGGGCCAAGATGTTGGGGGGCGCCGTCCCGCTTAAACGGGGCCTGCGGGTGCTAGCACCGAGTTCGCATGACTTCAGGGTGAACAATGACCCGAAATAAATGTGTTGGACGAGAGGGAATTTGCTGAGAACCTGCAAAAACGAAAAGAAAACTGGTCGATATTAGCTCGTTGACTGCTATGTCGGTCTATAGGACCGAGAAACAAATATCGGTCTCATAGACCGGGATTGCGGTTGTTACACCAGGTCGACTCGGCATATGAGAGTTAGTCAATTCAGCTCTTTTCTCTTTTCTACTTTGAACGCGAGAGAGGAAAGTTTTCACCTCTTCCATCTCTCTCTTCAATGCTACCAACGTGACCGCATTGAAATATAGAGAGGTCCGATAAATCTTTCCTTGTCTAACATCTAGTTTGTGCCACTGAACTATTTTTGAATTCAACAGAGTGTCAAATTGATAACATTAACCAAGTATGTATGTATGGAATAAGTATGATATAATCTGTAATTTAATTTAAAAAATTTTAAATGTTATCAGTCAATGACATTTATGACATAGACATCATTATAATCTGCACTAACTGAAATATCTCACTATAATAGAACTGCACTGAATCTAGCATAATGTGTTCTTTCAAAAGAATTGACAGTTCAGAAGAAAATAATATCATTATTCCCAATAGAAAATAAGTGTACGCCGCACCTATCGGAGTTCTTGGAAGCTGCCAAATGGGGACGTTTACTTTGTTTTCATTGGTTCACACTTGTTTCTTGTTTGTGCTTATTGGTCTCATCATCAAAACAAACAGCTCAAAGTTCAAGTTGTTACCGTCAGGTGGAGTGACGTGTTATTTACTAGTCGCGTTCGGTATTTACATCAGACTGCTCCGATGAATCTGAATCGTTCGTTTATGACATCTAGATGTAGGGGAAGTAGATCTCAGCCGTTCAGCAATTAAAATCGGAGCGATCTGACAAAGATCTTAATGCTCGGAGAATTTTGACCAAGCAAAGCGATTGATCTGAATTTGTGAGGTTAATGTTCAAGTGTTTATGTATGACTGGTCATTGTGCTGGTATTCGTATTTACAAAATAACGTTTTCATAATGAAAGAAATACAACTTTTTGATTCTGAGCAAGACAAAACACACACCTTTATGGTGTCAGATGAGAATTATGAAGAAAATGTTGCTTGAATTGCAGGTCAGTAAAATGAGGCACTGTTTCTTCGGCAAAATGTTCAACTTTTTCTAAAGCACATCGTTCCTCTTCATCATCCTCATCAAAAATAATTTGATGTCCCGAAACAAAAGCTAAATTTGGCACAGTTTCTGGTATACTCATAAGTGAAATGGAAATAAATGAAATAAATAAATGGGGTTAGGTTAGGTTACCGTCACACTATCAACAAAATGTCTACTTCGTTCGTTTATTCGATTGCTCCGATCTATCTGTGACCACGTGACTAGAATCTGCTCCCCAGTAAACATTTTTTTGTTTCTGAAATGTTCCAGAAACGTAATATTGATGCATGAAACATTGCATTCAAAGTTGCCTACATGTTCCAGAAACATTCCAGAAACTAGAGATGTCCGCCCTCAGGAATGTTTCATGGTAATGTTCCTAAATAATGTGTCGAATACGCAAATTGAAACATTTTGGAAACATTTCTACCATGATCATATCCTGTAGGAATGTTCCATGCAATATTTCATAAATATTTCTTTCGTTATATTACATGAAATGTTTCAGAAATATTCGTGAAACCAAAGATATTTGCCCTCAAAACTGTTTCATGAATGATGTTTCGAATACAAATGCTTGAAACATTCTGGAAACATTCCCTATATGATTAGATCTTTAGGAATGTTTCTTGGTACATTCCATGAATATTTTTGAAACGATAAATTTTCTCCACCAGAGATGTTTCATAAATAATGTTTCAAATACATATATATATAGAAACATCCTGGGAACATTCATTGTAGAACTTTCGGGAATGTTTCATGGAACATTTCATGAATGTTTTTCATTCAACAATATTACTGTTTATGAAACATTCCCATTGAATGTTTCAGAATGAAAAATACCTACAAATATCGCTGGAATATATTCATATTGCTGGTGAAATAAAATATAATAGACATAAAAAAATGGATTATGTTGCTCATATAATGATATATAGAAAAAGCAGTTAAAAAAGTATCATCAGAAATTTCACATAATCACGACGTATTAGGTATGTACAAAATATATATCAAGTAATTTAACATCGTTATTCACATGTTGAGTGCTTCAATATTTTTTCTTCGGTTACATCGCAATTGAAAGCACTATTCTTGTGCCGCTTCTAAGTCATGATGAAATTCTCACACTCCATCCTAGAACAAAAAGTATCATTATGAATATACCCATCATGGTATCTAATAATATTTGATATTTCATCTAAAATTATGGTTTCTCTATATTTATACGTACCTCGGCCTTGTCCATGGAGCCGTTGAATACATTTCAAAGTCCAGCCACACCAGGTGATAATAAAAAAAATGGAGTCGTTTGTGTTGTTTGTTTGGTTGCATGTTTTGATGTTACTTCACATGGCCTAAATCACCTAAAACACTCGAAAATGTGTTTGACTTGAGTGAAATAATTATATTTTATCACTATTATAAGATATTAGATCAAGCTTTGCTTGGCTTGAGACAACAGTCGGAAAGCGAAAACTGCGAAGCCAAGGAGAAGAAAACTGAATGCGCGTGCGCGAACGCTTAGAGCCGAAGACGGGAACCCGCGATCGATTACCGAAGCCACGAAAGCGGCGGCTGTAGAGGGGAAATGCTGAATTGCATCATAATATGATGAAATGCTTGGTCAAAATAGACCATGTAATAGTTGTGAAATAATCTAATTAATTTATTCGGGTTATTTTTGAAATATTCTTAAATTAACCAATTCAAGTTGCATGTCTTGGAATATTGTAGTAGTTAAGTAATTCCTAATGAATGTGTCAAAATGTCAATAATTTGAGGAGCCTTGGAATTTTTCAAACATATTCCTAACGCATTGGAACATTCCTGAATCAGTATTGAATGATATGTTTCAATTGAAGTGATTTTGAAACGTTTCATTAATTAATTATTCAAGTAATTTTGGAATGTTTCGGAATATATCAATTCAAGTTGTCTTGAAATGTTTCAGAAATGTTGCAATGATATTGAAATATCCCTGAAATGTTCCTGATGAATGTTTCCATTATTCAGAATGAGAGTAATATCGAAATGTTCCAACCATTTGAAATTCAGGTGATTTTGAAATGTTCCTTAATCAACCAATTTCAGTTGTCTTTTAATATTGCAGTAATTCGCAATAAGAGTATATTTGGAATGTTTCAAAATTTCTATAGTTTGATGAACCTTGAAATGTTCCAAACATATTCCGAACGCATTGGAACATTCCTGAATAAGTAGAAAATGATATGTTTCAATTATTCACAATTGAAGCAATTTTGAAACGTTACATTTATTGATTATCCAAGAAATTTTGAAATGTTTCGGTATATATCAGTTGAAGTTGTCTTGAAATGTTTCAGAAATGGTACAAAGATTTCGAAATATTCCTGGAATGTTCCTGAAAAATGTTTCCATCATTCAGAATGAGAGTCATATCGAAATGTTCCAATCATTTAAAATTCAGGTGATTTTGAAATGTTCCTCAATCAAGCAATTCAAGTTGTCTTGAAACATTGAAGTAATTCGCAATGAGAGTATATTTGAAATGTTTCAAAATTTCAATAGTTTGGGGTACCTCGAAACGTTTCATACATATTTCGAACGCATTGAAACATTCCTGAATAAGTAGTAAACGATATGTTTCAATTATTCACTATCAAAGTTATTTTGAAATGTTTCATTCATTCACTTCTCAAGTAATTTCGAAATGTTTTGGAATATATCAATTACAGTTGTTTTGAAATATTTCAGGAATATTACAGTGATTTTGCAATATCCCTGGAATGTTCCTGAAAAATGTTTCCATCATTCAGAATGAGAGACATATTGAAATGTTCCAATCATTTAAAATTCAGGTGATTTTGAAATATTCCTCAATCAAGCCATTCAAGTTGTCTTGAAACATTGAAGTAATTCGCAATGAGAGTATATTTGAAATGTTTCAAAATATCAATAGTTTGAGGTACCTTGAAACGTTTCAAACATATTTCGAACGCATTGAAACATTCCTGAATAGGTAGTAAATGATATGTTTCAATTATTCACAATCAAAGTTATCTTGGAATGTTTCATTCATTCACTTCACAAGTAATTTCGAAATGTTTCGGAATATATCAATTATAGTTGTTTTGAAATATTTCAGGAATGTTACAGTGATTTTGCAATATATCTAGAATGTTCCTGAAAAATGTTTCAATCATTAACATTTTAGGTAATCTTGAAATATTTCATAAATGTCTCATGTTTACTGGGTCTAATCTGCGATGTAAATACCGAACGTGACTAATATAACATCGAAAATAGTTCAGTGGCACAAGCTAGCTGTTGGACAAGGACAGATTTATCGGACCTTCCTATTTTAATGCGACCACGTTGGTAGTATTGAAGAGAAAGATGGAAGAGGAGAGAACTTTCCTGTTCAATTATATAGAAAAGAGCCCAATTAGGAAATTTTGGAGACAGAGCATGAAAATTGGATTTGATGATTTGATATTGTTCAAGTGGAGTTTGAGGAATATTTTTTATGGATTCATAAATTGTGGGGACCAAACTCACTTTTTAACATCATTTTGATCTTTCATCAGAAGACATTTCACTTTCAGTTGAGCCACAGTATACACCCTAAGTTAGGGTGTATACTGTGGTTGAGCTCTTTTCTATCTTGAACGAGAGAGAGGAAGGTTCTCTCCTTTTCCATCTTTCTCTTCAATGCTACCAACTTGGCGCATTGAAATATCAAGAGGTCCGATAAATCTGTCCTTGTCTAACCTCTAGTCCGCGCCACTGAATTACTTTTGATGTTATAATGATATTTTTTAATAATAATAATTCAAAAATAGTTCAGTGGCACAAACTAGATATCAGACAAGGAAATATTTATCGGACCTCTCTATATTTCAATGCTGCATGCGGCCATGTTGGTAGCATTGAGGAAAAAGATGGAAGAGGAAAGAACTTTCCTCTCTCTCGTTCAAGGTAGAAAAGAGCTCTACTAGTGTAAATATTCAAGGTCACTGTTCATTTCCTCTAAGCTAAATCATTATTTTTTGATGAAATGTTACTAACCTCTCCCTTGTACATTTTGATCAAGCCCCCGTTGATTTTCGACCAACCAGACACTCCACTGACACTCCACAATTGATTTGAATGTTCTGCAAATGGGCCTGTCTTGACTTGATTGATGTACTGAATGCAGGCCAAGAACATGTAATCATGTGCATATGCATTCACTATGCTGTCTTTCAGGAAAGATGTGGGCTCAAATTTTGGATTGCCTAAAAATATTTTGACAATTATTATGAATCATGATTTTCAAATATTCCATTGGGACATTCAATAACTCTTTGTGGAATTGTAGTGGGCTTCATTTTTGTCTTTATAGTTAGACATGAGACATTTTAGGACTAACCTATGAACTGTGCACTTCCCCAAATGAATGGCACAAATTGATAGTCATCCAAACTCCAAACTCCATGACTGCCGGCTGGCTCCATACGATAAGTCACTTGAAGTTTTCTTGCTAATTCTAAATATCTGCAAATGATCAACTATATTTTGATAATAAATTCACAGGAAACAAATTGAGAACAATTGATATTCAGTATTATACATTGAGCAATTTGAAACCAATAATGAATCATTTTGAGATTCATCCTGGTCTACAGAACTGTTTTTTAGTTTCAAAAATACTCTGGACACAGTATGCCTTCAGCATGAATTTAATGATTTACTGAATGCTCAAAGTTGAAACACACAATCAAATTAATATACTGTAATTTTATTCTCACTTCACAAAGACTTTACAAGCAGTTGCTGGCATATCTTCCTCTTTCAAATATCCAATTTTGAATAAAGCACACAGGAACATAACAAAAGATAGCTCATGTCCTGTCCCATAATCAATACGGGTTGAGTTTCCAAAACCTTCCACCAAGTATATCATGATTTCTGGGACTCCTCTGTGTAAATTTTCTGGAAGAACTTGGTGAAGCAAGGGTATTGCTTCCTATAATACAACAAATATGATAAAGTAATGGAATTATTTTCCCAGAACAACTCTGTTCTTACAGATTTGAGTTTGTTGTACCATTCCCTGAAAGCTATATTACCAAATCTTTGGGGCTGTTGTATGGCTGGAATATCATCAACCCACTGGCTCAACTGATCTAAAAGCTGTAAAACTTTGTTTATCCCTTCTGAAACATTTGTTCCTCCTTGTGCATTACTTTTTCCTTTAACAGCATCATTCACAGCATAAATGAAGCCCAAATATTCCTAAGGAAAATATTGTTAACTTGGATTTATACCAGGTGCCTGAGCATGAGTATACTTACAAAATGTGCTTCAGATTTGTCCCATTGGAGCATATCATCCATATTTCGAACCAATTTCATAGGAGTAATAAACTGGTGATTGTCCATTGCTAAAATATTCATTATTCTTGATTCTAACTAATAAATTTAAAAAACCATTTCTGTAGGAATCCACTCTCACCATTGCATTGTTCAGTAGTACCCATCAAATTTATTTTTCCCTTGTTTCTCTCCTAAAATTTTAAATAATGTTGGACTATCAAATCCACCAATTTTTGAATTTTCAGTATTTTGATTTTGACATATTATTATTTGTTATTTGACAGCTTGAACAGCTGGCTGTCAGTGATCTCATTCTTCTTTTTATCCTTCTCCTTCATCTTCTCTCATTAGCCATTAGTATCTTACTTCCATCATTGCCATTAGTCATTATTTGTCGTTATTCTTCAGCCAATGTGTTTCAGTTTCCTTCTACCAGTTATTTCAACGTTGGATGAGGCCAAGAAACGTAGAATAAGAAGCTGAGAAGAGTGAGAAGAAGGTAGTTTATGGCTTGCGGAACAGAACTGGAAGAATAGAAATTGTTTGGTTATGGTTCTTGTATTTTTAAAAAAATTGTACACGACAAGACAATCAACTGCGTATATAAAATATGAAGTCTTCACGAATTTGGATTTTATCAATAAATTAATTTATAACGTGAAAGTTTTCTCATCACCTCAAGACAATAGGATGCTGAGCCCTGAAATATTCAATTTTCCAGCTCCGGAATCTTTGTTCCAAGTAGAAAAATTTGAAGGCAAAGTGCCATTGAACAACCAAAACATCAACAACTTTCATTATAATCATCTGGCAAGTTGATTATTAAATTTTTTGAAGGAATAATTATCAATATCAATTTCTAGGTAACCATAATTATTCCCGATTCCGCAAAATTGGAGCAATTAAATGAAAAAGTCACTCAGGATTGTAGTTATTACAAAATTCTTGGTTTGAAACTTGAAGATTTGGTCAGCTTAAAATTTATTTGTGGTTTTATAAGAAGTGGTGAGTTTATAACACTTTATCTCCTGAAATGCCTTTCAAAAACACTTTTATAGGAAAATTATCTCTTTTGAGCATTGATAGAAGAATTGACTGTGATACATGCTTTGGTCTGGACCCATATGGTCAACTACTTGTGACTGTGGACAAAGAAACCTACCAGTCACTAGGACTAGAAGGCAGTATTTCTCACTTCACTAGAAAATTAAAAAATCATTTCAGTAAGTAAACAGTCTTTAATGTAGTGGTAGGTATATCCAACTGGAAATTTTTTTCAAAAAAATGCCTACCCACAGAGAAGTTCCTTCTTTGCAATCCATATCCCTGAAGAGTATAGGTTCTCTTGTTGTCTATATGGCACCAGAAATCATATCAAAAATTCGAGTGCATAAAGAACAACATAAAATTATTTCTAGTCTTCAACAGAGTCTTGATTGGCTCAATAAACTCCTATCATCCCATGTACCCTTTTACCTCTATGATGAAATGGCTGTGGAAGTATTGAAAGCTGTGAAAACCCTCATTGAAAAGACAAAGAAAACCTATTTTCCCCACACCTCCATGGCTTCATTCCTAACTGAAATGAATGTTGTAGTCAGTTTGACAGAAGTGGTACTAAACTGCCACCTCAAAAGCATAGATTTCTCCCAGTGGCCCAAAATAATGCGTTATGTACTGCACAAAAACCTTCATTGTCTCACTGGTTTGGAAAACCTCAACCTGGGTTCTTGCACAGGGGGTTGGAGAACTGCTGAGTATGACAGGTGCATTCTAGAAAGCATATGCAAAATGAAAAACCTAAGGTCCCTTTGCCTGTGCTTTGACTGCAGTGACATTGTTGTTCAAACCATTGGAGAACATTGCTCTAGTATCCAATGTCTTGATTTAACTTCTTCTCGCTCAGTTACTGATAGGAGCATCCCTCACTTACTCAGATGCCAGAATCTCAGAGAGCTACAGCTCCACAGGACTTCTGTGACAACTGATGGATTGGCACAACTCATAATAGGTCTTCCAAAGCTACAAGATATTGGCCGCTGTGATGAATTCGGCAATGTGATAAAGCTTCTGCATCAGAAGTACTCAAATGCTGGTCCATTCACACTTAGAAAAATACAGACTAGGGATGTGTCAACTGAAAATTTGAGATTGTTTGTTGATATGTTTCCTAAGATAGAGTATGTCAGTCTGTTTCATGACATGCAAATTTCTGACTTGACTGTGCTCATATCCCTGGATAATCTCAGAGATTTGAAACTGTTGTCTTGTGCCTTCTATGGTGACTATTTGAAACAGTTGTTGGAGATTCGCGGGGGAAATATAACTAGCTTGCATTTGGAGCATGTGGAAGAGATGGATTTCAAGGTGTTGGTGGACATCAGCCAGTGCTGTCCCAAACTCAAAAGCCTAGTTTTCTATAACTGTGATTTTAGGAATAGTAGTTTGCAACTACCAAAGCTCAAGTTGCAACCGTTTCTCAATTTGGAACGAATTTTCTGGGTGGTTGATAGTGCTATCAACCATCTGGAATTCATACTGAAGCATGCTCTGAACATCCGGTATATACATCTGGGTTCTTCCACAGGAATTACTCATTCTTCTATTGTCAATATACTAACGGTGAATCCTATGAGACGACTTGAAGAGATTAGGGTGTTATATAGTAGTGATATGAGTATGAGGACTGTGGAACTGCTTCTAGCAAGTTGTGTCAATTTGAAAGTTCTCTCGGAGTTAGAAAGTTGGCAAGGGATTGACATTGAGGAGTTGAAAACTTTCAAGGAGTATATTTATTCTAATAATTTCGATTTGGATATACGACCCACTTTATCATTCACTACTTGATAGATTGGATATTTTAAGATTGGATATGTATTTTTGATAATCTGGTAAAACAATGTCCATCTGTACCAAATGGCAAGTCAGCTTTATTATCTTTGGAATGTGATTACTGATTATTTTGTTTGTTGTCAAATGTATTTGTTATATAAAAAACTAGAACAGAAAATTTTGTAATATAGGTAGGCAATTGAATTGATTCCTATGTAAATTTATTTTCAAACTCATATTATTTTCTGTGTGGTTGTCTAGATTCGTGGTGTCTAATTTTATGTTACTATATGATATTGCACAAAGTAGATTGATTTCTATTGTCCTATTAGAAAATATATTTATTAATCAAATATTACCACAATTTTTAAACAAATGTTGGTTTATACAATTATACAAAACACTACAACAGATTCCAATGTTTATTTGTGGGTGGAATGTTTTTTTTTTTCAAAATGGTGACTTCAGATTGTCATTCAAGGTTAACAGATTTTCACGCGCTTTTTTGGGTCGGGCATCAATTGGCAACAATGGTCCTTCATTATGAATGATGGGATCTGTGTAGGCACCTCCAACTTGTCTGAATTGTCTAGTTAGCCATGAAGGATAGAATAATCAGTTTGAACTGTTTTTCAAAATTATTCAAATCTATGATTTTGCGTTGGAATCAGCGACAGTATACTCCATAATATGTGCAAATGACCTTTCATCCCTCTTCACATTACAATCACAATGCAACTATAAGGAGTTGGAGAGTAATGGAAAATATCTTCACAAACGATAGGATTTCCACCGAATTCTTGAAAACACCAAATATTTTGTTGACATAGCAGCCTCTTCAAGTGCAGTTAATCATGCTAAAGTATATTTCTTTTTAAAAAAATTCTCATGATGTTCATAAACGCGGTGGTTAAACGTTCTGCCTGGCTGACCAATATAAGCGGTTTCACATTCATTAGCGATTCTTATCAACTAATGGCATAGTAACTTGGAAAAAGAAACAAATATGTAAAATATGACTGGAAATTCGATAGGTGCTTCTTCTAGTTCTCATTATATAAAATAGGTGAGTGTTTTGTGATTGTAATGTGGAACAAAACCCAAACTAACTGCTTCGAAAATTTTCAGCAATAACAGTCGATTTAGCCGATGAGAAATTAATTAAAAACACATCAAGGCTATCAAAATTGAAAACCTGTCTAGGTAGGCTTGAAAAGTGCTCAGTCATAGTTACCTGGAAACCTCCAAACGAGGATATCTGTCCATCTTCTATAGCCAAATACTTTTCTGACCTTGGATATGTGGTCAAGCAATGTACACCGAATTTCAGAAGACATACTGTATATTCCAAAGTACCAGATTTTGATCTGGGTAGTATAGATGTCACTAATGCCAAGGAGTTTGCAGAGTGGTTAGGCTTTGTATCCATTGATGGAGATTTCCAAGAAGACCCTAGTGGTTATTTATCCAGTTATGTGGTGCCTTCTGCTACAGGGGTAGCCAAAAAAATCGACTGTCTTCAGTGGAGGGGGTTTTTCACTGCTACTGATATCAAGGAAATGATTGAACAAATAATGTAAGTGTATATAATGGAAATGATTTGATAACATTTTGAACCACTATCATATTTCTGATTTGTTTAAAAAACTTTTTTTTTTACCAGAAAAACAACTAATTTGGCGAATCTCCCTTGGATATCAATATACATACAAGGATTCTCTGATTCTCCAGTATCTTGGACCAATGAAGAGCAACATTATTACACCAATGGTGATAATGGTTACATCATAATATTCAACAAAGAAAATGGGCTATTTTGTATTCAGAAGTGTTCAAGAAAACGATACAAAGATGTTAACAAATATAAATGAACTTTCTTGTTTATTTCTTGAACAAAGTGAAGATCAAATTATTGATTTTTAATTTCTTCCACCTGTTTTAAGCCAATTATTTGGGACCCAAAGGGACCAAAAGCTTTGGAATTCTTTGCCGATAAAAGTATTGAGAACTTATAACCTCCAAAAGTTATTTTAAATATGCCAGTGGCATTTAAAAATTAACTGAAATATTTTATTCAATGACAAAACTAAAGGAAAACATGTTTCATAGGTAATTGATATGACACACATGTCAAAAAATTACATCTGGGGAAAAATGCATCCATGCCAATGAAAATCGTGAAAGATAAAAAAAATAACTTTTGAACCATTCAACAATTGGATAACATCATTGTCTGCTTACTATGGAGAAAAAATCTAGTGGGCTGTGGATACTACAGTTCACTAGATTTTTCTCTCAATAATGGATAACATATATATAGTTAGTTTGGTTATTCTGAATTTTTTTCATTATCAATATCATGAATCTACTAAAATTTCGAAGAAACTGAACAGATATTCCACTTTCTTATTTTTTTTTTCTCTATGGCTTGTATCAAGAAGAGCCATGTCTGAAAAAAACGAAACAGTCACTATTTTTAGAATAATTTAATAGTGTAGTATTCTGTATTTACAAGTATTTTATATACATAGGTAATAATTTCTTTATGTAATCTCATTTAAAAACTATACATTAAGATATAATTTATACATTATAATACACAGACATAAAATAAATATACTGCATAGAAAATTCATTAAAAAAACTTTGGTTCTCCTTTGAGGCCTTAGCTATCAGGTTATGATCAAGGAATGTTCGTATATTTTCATTATGATGAATTCTTTGTATCAAATTAATTCATATCCACACACCCTAATGTATTTACATGAAGTCATACAAGTCTACGAGACAAACAACAGCGTGATTCAATACATTTTTTCGAAAGAAAAGAGTGCTAAATAGATCTAGAAATATATAAAATATCCTTTCCAAGTTATCATGAAAAACTATAACTCCCTGATATTCTTCAACGCCCTATATAGCTTACTACTTGAGGATAATAAACAAGTATGCCCCTGATATTTCTCGAAAATATCGAGCACTTCATTCTTTCCGAAAAAATAGAATCACCAATCACCCTGTATTTCTACATATATCACAATGAAGCAAATACTGTGATCTAATTGCAAACAAATATTTTCATTACACAAACTACAGCCAATAATATGTTCCATGTTCCGAAGGAGCTTAGACTGTAGAAATTTTAAATGATAAAAAAATAAATCCACGTCTTTCCGAGTTCATTCAACAAACTAATGAATATTATTTGCCAACGTTGGAACTATCTGTAGAAATTGTGAATTGACAATCTAGCAGTTTCCTAAAATTTTCTTTGGTCACAGAAACTCCAGACGAAATCCACGCACCGGCAATTTGAACAGTAGAGATATTTGGCAAAAAAGTTATTTGATCATGAACTTAGGCACTACCAATTTTTTCGTCATGCCTCATTCAAGTCGGGATCTCAAGATATAGATTTCCACGCACTGCTGCTATAGCACTCAAGATATTAGCACTGATGTACCAAAGCACTGCTGCTAATACGATGTATTATTTCTTTAGTAGCACACCATGTCATAATGTAGATGCCATATTCAGTTTTATATTGCATTAGGGATGATTATAGAGAGGGTGAAGTGTTTCATGCCTCTCTATCTTTCTTTCTCACTCCTAGATCGAAATTATTGACGATACAAAGATTCGAATTCACGTGGGAAGTGATTATCACATACTAAAATAAATTCCCAAAATTCCGGGAAATTTCATTTTTTTTTTCGATTTTTTCCATAATGTGCGAAATAATGTGTACTTGAGAGGATTTGCTCTGGGAAAATTTCCCAAAATTCTCCAAAATTCCTCGAACTTTCCCGTAAATCCTGGGAATTCCTCGATGCATCTTCATTTGCAAGGGGTTAACCACATATTGAAATTGTGTACAAAATATCCATGTATTTCTCCAAAACCCCTCCAATGCATCAAAATTCTTCAATTTCCCTTCTATGCAAAGTGTACAAAATACTTCTTCGTGAAAATGCCCAGAAATTACTGGAAATTCCCAAAATTTTTCAATTTCCCCATCACTTCTCACCATAGAAAACACCCCTCAAATAGAATGAAATATCATATGTCCCGTACCGAAACTGTCATGGGCGACTGAAATAGTGAAGCTTCCGACCCAATAGGTGGCAATTAGTTAGATAATGCCAAGTTTTCAAGTACTTTTGTGCCGCCATTACTGCTTTTGTTATTGTTAATGTGACGTGCAGGAAATGGATTATCAATATTCAATCATATCTCAAATAATACAGTTATCCTTTATTCGATTTAATAAACTTAATGACTTTCGATAGTGGTAGTGAAATATGTTGATCAATGAAATTCTAGGTGAAATGGCTTTGATAAATGGGAGGCATGTTCGTTTGTGTTTGCTTTACCTGTTAAACTTCCATTTCCATGACTCTGTTTACATTATGCCATGAACAGACCTGGGAATACGTTGTTATTGGCCTTCACAAATTCCAGGTAGTTGTGAAAATATATTTATTGAATGAAGACCATACCAGAATCATTATACAGTACGATGCAAATGTATGGAATAAATTCATTTCAAAACAAGACGACTTCCGAAAAAAATCCAAAAACTAGACTTCAGAACTTTATTAATTGATTTATTTTTTTAAATAGATGACCCTTCGTTGTTCAATTCTCAGTAGTAGACCTCTGCAAGATTCAATTAATTAAATGATAATCCATTTTAATTTCAATTTTCTTATGCAAAATTTTGACTGTTGAATAGACGATCAGTAGACCTTTCAAACGAGGTGTCACATGACCCTTGTTTTCATTTGAAAAAAATCGTTCATTACGTCATTACTCCAACACCGGTGACGTAACATCTCTCATATGGATATCATGAGATGAGGCTTCAAAAATGAAACCTCACTTGTTTTTGGAATTTTTTCAAATGTCACCCATTTCTGAAATAATGAATTTATTCCATACATTTGCATCATACTGTATATGCTCTTTTCAGGAAGAAAACAAAGCAATATGCCGTTGAAGTTCATTATACACAGTCCTTCTTTTATGATTCTGATGCAGTAACATGAAAGAATGATGTTTGATCATCATCGATTCGGTGCCATGTATTTTTCCAGAAATGATAAAGTCAATAACCAATATATTTTAAAATTTCCCCCACGTTTGTCAATGGTCGAATTAGTTCGGCTCCAAAACGCATGGTGGTGCCGATGTCTTGTTCTGGAGATCTCTATGAGAGATTGCATTCAATTTGTGGGGGGTTTTCTATTCTTATCACAAACTATACCAGAAACTCCTCCGTGGTAAACCCATCGCTCACGAGTCTAGTGGCAGAATTTTAAGCAGGCCAAGAATGATAAATACCAGAGCTGTCAATCAAGAAATGCCATATTTTGTGATGTAACTATTGTCAGCTGTCTGAATTTTTAACCACCTTCAAAGTACCGGCAAAGAACCTGAGACATCTTCCGAATCGCGCCACCATAGACGCTCTTGTCCAACCTTTGCGACGCCAATAGCACAAATTCGTTTTGCCCAAACATATGTATAGGAGACAAATCAGAGCGATTTTGGCAATAGTGGTGAACTAAAATCACTGATATTGACGGTAAATTCGAATAACGAATGTTTTCAAATCATAGTAAATAATAGCAAATACTCTAAATTGGCGAAGAATCAAGTACACTGAAGATTTCCGACCGAGAGCTTCGCTCACGGCCGATCCTGAAAAAGAAAAACATCATCGACATAGCGAATCACTATCGGCCTCAACAGTGGTTGTTTTTTCAGGTAGGAAGGAAAATATTCCTTCTAACCTTTTTTTTCCAACCTTTTCTTCCAAAAAAGTATATTTTTCGAAAAAGAAACCAGAATTAAAAGAAAAACCGACCTTCAAAGGAATTGAGCCCGGATAGCCGGCGTGGAATTCGAACGCACAACAACTGATCCACCAAAGTACTTGAAAATTATAGTATGAAGTTGCCAGTTCCCCACACATGGAGTATTTGTTGCACCGTATCTATAGACGTTTGTCAACTAGCAGGCGCTTCTTTTGGATTGTTCTGATTGGTCTATAGGAATCGCCTATGCATATGTTCGGGCCAAACGAATTCATGCACGCTAATAAGCGACCACCGGTTCATCACCCACCATTCTCCTCATCCCCCAAATCAGGTACACAACTCGCCCTCCCTCCCTTTCCAAACACCCTTCCCCTCACTCCTGTCCGAATGTGTCCGTCTCCTCGATGGCGTAGGTCAGCTTCTCGACCAGCTGGTCGTAGCTCTTGTAGGGCGGCAGGTCGAGCCGGTTGAAGCAGGTGTGCGACCGGGGCAGCCACGAATCCTTGCCCACCTTCTCGACGCAGAAGCGCTGCGGGCCGTTGCTGCCCATGAGCTCGGCGAAGCCGCCCACGGGCACGCGGCAGGTGCCGGTGACGAATTGCAGGAGGCGGGCTCGTTTCTCGTTGTCCGACTGCTTCACGAACTGAAAGAGAAGGGGGAGATTGGAGGAGATCTAGATATTTTTGGATCAGTTTATTAGAGTTCGATGTTGTAAATTGGCGCCCAACGTGGGGCACTCGAATAGCTATTCCGTTAGCTGCAAGTACAATTGACTAATATTAATCCTAACCCTTGATTATTCACACTAGTGGTTCCCAAACCTATTTTGCCCACCGTCCACTTCAACAATAAACTCAACAGGAGAAAAACGAACTCAAAGTCGGTCGACCACAATATTTAATATCAAAATTATATATAAGCAGTGTGTTACTATAGTTTCGGCTCTACGGCCATCTTCAGACACAATTGGTATATTTCTTGGGATAAACAAGGCAATCCATCAATAGTGAAAACATTTTCAAGGAATAATTTATTGTCACTACACAAGATTACTTAGTAAATTGTCGCCCTACATCAACAGTGACAATAATTGTCGTTCTTTGTTTCAATTACAGTAGGCAGATGAATTATGTTAATTGGCGCCCAACATCCTTCCAATAAAATCGTCGAGGAGTTTCTATGAAACTTCATATTTTTCAGTGCCCACTAGATAAATCATAATTATTATATCATTCGCTACTCTGAAGGTACCAGACAAGCAGTAGCCCTATAACGCTGTTAAGGAAAAGTCGAATTTGTAACATTATATTGCCAAAATGATCATTGAATGTTTGACATATTTTTGCTTTTGACGGCATGCAGTAGTTGTTACTCACCTGCCAAAACCACATCACCGGTTTGCTGTTCCTCGTATAGTGCCTGTAGATCGTATGCCTCTGCCAATCGTCCACGTCGATCTCTTGCATACCGCAAAGCAACAGTTCCAGTTCTCTCTCGTCGAAATACTTGAGCCACTCGATCGGCACCACCTCGTTGAAACCGTCCAAGAAGGCCTGGGTCTGCTGCTCGATGCCTCTCGTCATCCGCCAGTCGGTCATCAAAGTCAAATACTCTTCTTTGTTCTCCTCGGTCACGCGTTCCTTGTCGCCTACAAATACGTAGAAATGGGTAACACTTTCCTTACATAAAATATACGAAGTTTGCATAGTTGTTTTCGAAATCTCTTCACAAGAACTCAATCATTATTTAGCACCCATTGGAAAAATGATTATGGTGGCCGGGAGACGAAACGTCAGTTAGCAAAACTGAAAGCACCATCATGTAGTAGAAAAAAAATGGCAATGCAAAAGTGCAGTTCATTTTGAAATACAACAATGAATACATTCAGAAAAAAATGTTATCAATTTTCCAAAATTTTGGTTTTTCCAGATATTTCCGGATACTTGGAATTTCGAAACTTTCTAAACGGCCTATTGTTAGTTAGGTGAATGCTCAACTTTGACCCAATGTCTTCATATCTCTCATGGTCTCCGAGATCCCAATAGTGAGGATCGAATTTGAAACACCCTGTATATCATCTCAATTAGGTTACCTGATCAGATTTCAATTACTCTGCTTTATTTTTCATAAACGTAACTGCAATGATGTTTTCACCTTTGTTTAGAAGAGTGATTACCGTTCTTTGCTCTGAATACAGTGAAATAATTGTCTCAAATTGGCGCCCAACGTTGGGTAAATCCCACAGGCAAAACATATCACCTGAGCAAAACGATTTGCTTTGACAGATTTTTTGACTTATATGTAAATTTTATGACTGCAAAACATATTTTTGATACGAAAAACGTGTATTCTTTGTCGATAAGTGGTGTTGGCCTGAGCATTAGATTTACATAATTGTATTCTTCTGAAACGGTTGTTATTGAAAAATCCCCGAAACTGTAGATTATATTATTCCTCAAACTATTGATATTATTCATTCGTTCAAATCAACCAATTATTATTAACAGAATTTATACCTATTGTTCTAGGAAATAATCAATATGATTAATTGGCGCCCAATATGGGGCCAGTTCTACGACTTACCTGACCAAGTTTCCAATTAATAAAATATAAAATGAATAGATCATAGCGATTGGTTTTGATAAGCCTTCTCCGACTTACATCATGCAAATATTGTCTAGAAAAATGATTACCGTTCTTCGTCAACTCGTGGTGGACGATTTGTCCCAACACTTCGAAATCCACGCTGTGGTACAGCTCCAAGGCGCACTCGTCGATGTCGTTCTCTTTGATCCACACCAGCGAGTTGTAGAACTCGGGATCGATGGACTCGATGTCCTTCATGACCAGTTTCTTGCCCAGCATCCGCTTGTAGAAGGGCATCGTAAAGCCGGAGTAGATGAACCGGCCGTGATAGAGGGCCATCGCTATGAACCTACCTAAATGCGTAAAAAAATGGGTTCAAGTTTGATCTAGTCAATAGTCGTGTTCGGAATTCACATCGGATTGTTCAAATCAGTCTGTATATAACCTTATGTGTATGGATAGTCATCTGTCTTGACTAAGTGTGGGATAGAAGTGAAAACTTAAAGTACCTAATTTAATGACCCTGAAAACCCAAGGTACAAATTTTGAATAGAATCGGATCATTAACTGCAAAACTCGTCCGTCATATTGGATCTGCAATCTTGGATTTCCTAATTTTGACAAAGGAATCATAATCTCCGAACCTGAAAACCCCCAGGTACAAATTTTGAATAGAATCGGATCATAATTACAATAAAACTCGTCCGTAATATTGGTTCCTGCATCTTGAATTTAAAAAATTTAACGAAATAATCACAATCTTCGACCCCGAAAACTCGTTCGCCATTTATTTTGACGAAAGAATCAGAATCTCCGACCCCAAAAACCTCCAGATACAAATTTTGAAGAGAGTCGGATCATAATTACACAACTCGTTCGCCATCTAGAATTTTCCTATTTTGTCGAAAGAATCAGAATCTCCGATCACGAAAACCTCTAGATACCAATTTTGAAGAGAGTTGTATCATAATTACAATACTTTGAAATCCCCTTATTTTGACGAAGGAATCATAATCTCCGACCCCTAATACCAATTTTAAATAGAATAGGAGTAATATATATTGGATCCACCATATTGGATCCGCTATCCAGGATATCCTTTTTTTCACGAATTTTGATAGTTTTTATCATATTCCTATTCCGGACTGAGAGGAATAAAAAAAATCAATTATCATAACAATTGGTCAAGCCATTCTTGTGTTATAAATGTTGTACTAGCACGATTTTAAAAGGTAACGCCAAAAAAATGGCTTTCTTTTACGCTATGGCATCAGATATAGATCATCCATATTGTTTACCAATACGTATAAGAAACTCACCGATAAACTTGAAGTAGGTCAAATGCTCCGGATTGACGTACGAGGCCGGATTGATCTGCAGGCTGTAGTTGTTCTTGTTGGCGTACTCGAACAGGCAGTACATCGGGTTGAGCGCCTCGTGCGACACCAGGAAGAACCACTCCCTGCTGACGCCGCCGTAGTCGAGCCCCTCCTCGCCCTTGAAGATGATGTAGAGGCGGCGGCGCAGCTCGTACGCGGGCAGGCGCATTATCGTGTGGAAGGAGTCTTCGAACAGGGTTTGGCGCGTCACTTGGATCTTGATGTGGCTCGGCAGGGCGTTGCTTTGGCACAGGAATCTGGAAAAAAATGAAATTGAATAATATGTTGCTCTCTCTTTCTCATTGTCTCTATTCAACAATCTTTCACTTTCTCTCTTTCTGTATCTCATTTTATATCTCTCACTCTCCTGCTCTTGACAGATCTAATTCGGAAATTCAATTAGCCCGGTCGCCTATTGAAAAAATTTGTAGCGGTAAAAATAGACTTATTATCCCTAAGGAGCCGAAACAGACAATTCATAAAGATGTGTTTGTTTTTCTTAATGATTTCACGAATTAGAATGCATATTAGCGTGAATACAACGTTAACAAAAAAAATATAAACTGCCGTTCAACGGAGGGCCATCCACAACTCACCTGTAGGTTGCAATTTTCCTTAGCCGTTGACTTTCATGGATCATTCAAATTTGAAGTATCGAAATCATTAGTCAGAGCACTTAAATAACACAAATTTTAGGAATTGGCGCCCAACGTGGGGCCTCGACAACTCACTTGTAAATTCAATTCTACTTGGTCTATCGATTCTCAGCGTTCATTCAAACCTTGAATATACTGAATTATTACGAGAATAAAAAAAATTCATTTCTTTTCCATCTCTTTATCTCCCTCTTTATTGATCATTCTCACTTCCACTCCCTATTTCTCGCTCTACTACTTTTAGGAGCTTTAATAACAAAGAGAAATTGCGGAACTTTCGAATTGATATCATTAGCCATAGTACAGGAATGACATAAATGTTATAAATTGGCGCCCTACGTGAGGGTGTATACAACTCACATGTGGGTTCAAATTCTACTTAGCCTATTGATTTTGAGCGTTTATCAAACCTTGAAAGTTCTAGGAGACTTCAAAAACAGTTTTTTTCCTTTTTTATATCTTCCATTTTCTACATCACTCTTTCTCATTTCATCGCTCTTTCTTTCTCTCTATTTTCATCACTCTTACTTCCACTTTATCTTCATTTCATTCTTGAGAACGAAGTGTAATTGTTGAACATGAATTCAGATCGATCGATATCATCAGCCAGAGCACCAGAGTAACACAAATATTACAAATTGGCGCCCAACGTGGGGCATATAAGTTTCAGTTTTACTTGATCGATTGATTTTCATAGTTCGATAAAACCTTGGAGTTCCATTTTAAAGAAACTGAAAGAAAAACGTTCCAATTCCTACCTGAACTGGCTGATCTTCCACTTGAACGATCGCTCGTACGCCCTCGGCACGCCGTAAAAGCCCTTAGGCCCCTTGGGTGCGCCCGGCCGTGGATCGTCGAACGTCGTCGTCTTGGTGTTGTGGTCGACGAAGTACCGCTTGCCGTCCTCCGTGTAGCGGATCTCCCAGCCGGCGGGGGGCGGCAGCTGCTCCTCGGCCGCCTCGCCGATCTCTTGGCCCTGCGTGCGCGGGTCTTCCCACTGCGTGGTGCGGTTCTTGTGGTTCACGAAGTACACGCGGCCTGCAACAAGAAGATTTCACGTTTAGCTGCATGGGCCCATACGGTATGGTACAAATGAAATGAAACAATGGGACTCAGAGGCACATTCCTCTGCAGCAGCAGCAAGAGTAAACCTATGGAAACTGAAAAGTAGAGAGGCTATGTATGTTCTGGGCCAAGCCAATCAGAGGCCAGCATTCAGTTTGAGGCCCATGGAAATGCCACGGAAGTGTCACGGAAACGTCTAAAAACATGAAAATGTCATGGAAATGCCACGGAAACGTCAAGGAAATGCCACGAAAATGTCATGGAAACGTCACGGAACATGGAAATGTCATGGAAATGCCACGGAAACGTCACGGAAACGTCAAGGAAATGCCACGGAAGTGAAACCATGTACCGTGGCGTTTCCGTATTGACTAAAAATGGAAGAATTCGAAAAGCAGCAAAACACTGTTTCAGATGAGATGTTCCCAAAACATTCCTCTGCAGCAGCAGCAAGAGTAAACCTATGGAAACTGAAACAAATAATAAGAATAGTCCCTCCTTTCAATTATTTTTTGTTTTGTTTTAATAAATATTATAAACTGTTGGATTCAGAGTTCAATTTCGAGAATATTTTGACATGTGTTACATCATGAAGGTTTAAAGTGAACAAGAATAGAACCTAATTTAACGTCATTCAGACCATGATGATCTAGCACACTTATAAATTAATGAGATTTTAAGGAATGATTTGATACGTTATAAGTTTACTGTAAAGTAAAGTGAAGCAAAGTCTTGAATGACAAGAAATGGAATGAACCGTTTTCGGAAGTATTTTTTTGTCTTAGGTTATTACACTTGCCTTCCGTTTGCATTCTCTTTTCCCATCCGGACGGAAGGGGGCCCAGACCGTCGTCCTCTTCTACAACAGCAGCGGAACTAGCAGAAGGACCTGGTACTGGAGCCGGCTGATGTTGTGGATACAGGAAACGTTGGTTACCTAAGAAAACAATATTTTCAGGAGAATTCAGGAAACAGAGATTTTTTTAAAACTCAATATCAAATCAACAATTCGAAGTAATGTTCTATATTGAATTTATAATCAATATTTAATCTAAATATTTTTAAGAACTTGAAAATTTTTTACAAAAAGTTTATAATAATTATCTAATTCACACACAGGTCAATAACCTATGTGAAGTAGATAAAATTTAGAATTTTTATAATATTAGAATATGTATGTCTTTGTAAATGTATTCATATGAGAATAAATAAATAAATAAAATAAATAATAAATAAAATATACTATAAGATATCAAAAGAAATGGGTGTGATAGTTTTTTGCTACAAAAAATGTAGAAAATTTCTCGCAAGGCCACTATTCTGCAATTTTGTATTTTATTTTCACACTTTCAGACATTTTGCATAACTTTTTGAGGTTATCCTTTATTCTTCTTCATTTTTCTGTTTTTTTTTTATCTTCAGGCAATGTGCCAGCTCAATCATTTGATAGAATATATGGAGATTTTTTTTTGTGAAATGAGTCTAAGGAATTTTAATGTTCCCAAGTTTCATTATAGCAGACATTTCATTGTAATTTAATAATGGAATCATTCATTTTCCTTTCCGATTGAAAACCTTTTGAATTTTACTTTGCTTGACAGTTTGATACGAACCTTGAAAGAATAAAAAATGCGTATCATAACAGATGCTAGTTTGATGAATATTTGGGTTCCCATTGAAGATACACAGTTCCGAGGGATTGGAAAAAAAGGCAACTAAGGCTGAAAGATAAACACAAAAATCACATGCCTTGTTGGACGATATGCTGTCTCTGACCCTGCCATTGCTGATAGTGCTGCAACCTTTCCGAATTCGGCCTCTGCCACGTAGTGTTCTTCAAGTTGTGATCCACATAATACACTCTACCGCGTGGATCTCTCCTCATCTCCCAACCAGGAGGCAGAGGCTGAGGTCTCTCCCAAGAAGTAGATCTGATGAATACATTGAGAAATCACTGATGTGTTTCATTGTCCAAAATTTATTTTTGAGGCATCGGTTCTGATGTAAATATGCTCCTACCATTCACGATTTTTATCTCAATAAATTATTTGATCATCTTTCAAAAAAACAACTACTTTGCTTTTCATCATATTCAATTGGTGACGCAAACTCACAAAATAAAGGGAATTTCCTTTATAAACATATCTCACAAATTTAATGTATGAAAATCTGGACCCTGTGGAATGAAATATTCATATATCATAGTTGAAATAAGAGAGAGCAAGATGTATTATATGATCACTTTGTGAAAATGAAATCATTTCATTTTTCATATTTGTTTCGAATACACACCGCGTATTGTGATCCACATAATATCGCCTTCCATAAGTATCAAACCTCATTTCCCAGCCTGGTGGCAATGCTTCAGTATCTTCAGTTCGGTTTTCTTCCGGTTCAGCATGAACTGCATTACCATTCGGGACTGTAACTGGTGGTCCAATGGAGCCTATCAATTAAAAAATTCAAATGGTTTTTTACCAATTTCTGGGCACATTCTCTAGTAACATGGATAAGAATAGATTTTGTGCGCTGATAAGATGACGACTTTGTAACTTTAATGCATATTTGCATACTTATAATTTGGAATTATTGATCTCTGGATAAAACTACCGAATCGTTATAATAATCACAAAACATTGACTTGAAAACATAATTATCTTGAATATCTCTATATCGAGAGTGTTGCAGCTTCTATCAAAAAGTAGCAACAACTTTGTTATTTCAAATAGAATACCCTGTATTTTATTGCATTTTTAGATTCTGCCTGAAGAGCTGATTTCATCGATACATAATATATCGATATATAAATTATTGACAGTCAATATCCTCGACTTTTGATTCTATTTCAGACTGCTCCTATCATGTATCTTCAAAATGAAAGTATGCATTTTCATTCATTTCACTAAAAATAAGAAAAAGTACTCGAATCTTACTTTCAATATCAATTCTGATACCCATGAGCATCACACAAGACAAAGTGAAGATTTGAAAACTGTCAATATAAAAATCCAATTCAGGAAAAAATCATTGTATTTTTGTGTAAAGTATTGATAATAGTCTACCCAACTGAATAAAATCTATTAGGTCCGTCACAACATTTGAGTGTGAATTATTATTATTATTGTTTCGATTTAATATGTTATATGTATGTTTTGTTGTATATATCTCTATTATAAACAATAATGTTTCTTGGGGTAATGAAGACAATCAATCAATTGAAGAAATATATTTTATCAATTTAACTCTCTCCTTGTATTCTGATTGAACTCTTCATCTTTCATTGTATTGCATATATTTTTTTTGTTTCCCTCTATAAACATTGTATGTTAATTGGGATCAATAAATGTAAATTATTATTATTATTATTTATCATCGAAAACGTTATCGCCGTTATCGTAGGCGCCTGGCATTTAGACCAATAAAAAGCAAGGTCAAACCGTGCCTATTTCATCACACACTCCATTCTTAAATGAAATGTTCCATAGCATTCTCTCTATTTAAATGTGCTGCCAATGTGTCATTTTCTTGTGTCTTTACAGTGTGAACAACTAGGAACAGCTGTCGGTCATATCTCAGTAACGAATAATGATACAAGCTTGAGATAGAATAAATGTAATGGTATGCATATCATTACACGATGTAATAGAGAAACTAAATCTCAACAGACCAACGAAAACCGCAACATGATAGCTTTTCGCCATCGGAAGATATTAACTATCAAAGTTGGAAGAATGATAGATATGACAGCCGTTCTTAGTTGTTCAACCTGTACATACTACATTGTTTGTTTCATTTTATTTCAGTTGAGGTTTTAAGGCTCCATGGGAAAAAGAGGAAGACGTTAAAGAACAAAAAATACATCAATCGTCTCTCTTTCTCTCGAGCCAGTCAGCTATGTGCTCTCCACCCAACAATGTTGCTATTTCATAAAAAATACCCACCGTTGGGAACACTGCTAGCACTCGACGAGACAGGCAAAGCCGCCATAACAGCCCTGCCCTCGGCCCCCTCCAAGCTACCCCTCGACGCCGCGGGCGCCACGTTTTCGGCCCCCGGGACCCTCAGCTTGGCTCTGATCCCGTTGAGCACGCTCCTGTGGTTCACCTCGCTGTTACTTTGCACCAGGGGCAACGAAGCGTTCGACCGCATGTAGCTCGACATATCGATCACCAACCCCTTCAATCAATCAATAAATAAATTCATGAATTATAAAGTTACAATCAGGAAATTAGAATTGAAATTTTGATTTATCAACCAAACGTCCCTTCAAATTTCTTGTATGGAGTGAGAACAAAGATCTATGAGGAGTTTGGGCCTCAGGCTAGATAACACTAGATATACAGGGTGTTGCGAGATTCGACCGACAACGCTTGACAGGTGATAGCCCTCGTGATTTCATAATCACTGAGATAGGACATATGGTCTTCAAGTGTTCAGTTCTCGAGATACAGGGCGTTAATGTTGAGAAATTTAAATAGGTTTTTCGCAGTATTTCAAGAAAAATTGGATATGGTTTCATCTTTCAATGGTTATTTTTTTATCCAGAAAGACTTCCGAGAATTTTACCCAGAGGTGCACTACAGAGGGTTGTGAAAATTTTTCCTCCCAAATTTTCTACGCCACTGATGAAATTTCAATTATTTCCAATTTCTCGAATTGATTGTTCAATTATGTTGAAAAAATGCATCACCTTCATCATCAACTTGAAATGAAAATCTGTTCTTTTATTCATTTTGTGAAAAAAAACAACTTGAACTTTACTGTAAATACAATTCATTCTCATAAAACGAGACAGTTGAATTCATTAATAGCAAACCCATATAACTCCATTATTGGCAAACAATCAGTATTCTACAAGGGAATCATTTTATATAATTCATTACCTTATGATTTGATATACAGGGTGATTCACATAAGAACTGACATAGAGCAGGGGCATGTAGGGGATCTCAAAATATGGCAATTTAACGCAACTTACCTCTATACCAAGTTGCTTCCCTAAGGAGATATAGGCTTTGAAAGTGAAGTTATAAATTTTGAAAAAAATCAATATCTCTGTTATTCTTGAACTCAAAGCAACCAAATTTGGTACACTTTGTGGATGTATTTAGGGCGTTACTTGACAGTAACTAGAGTTTAATTGAAGTTTGTAAAAGGGGTATACCGGGTGGCGCACCATTAATATTCAACATAATTTTGTTAACCCTTGATGGATTTCAAAAATCTTTGCTTTGTTTTGTGGGCAATTCAATTCTAAAACTTTTGCTACTCTAGTAATTTTTCGAAAAACCTCATCATTTTCATCAAAAACTCGAATAACTGTTGGCTATGAAAATTAACGTCAAACTTGACAATGAGGCAAGTGAGTTGTTCAATTAAGTAATTGTTGTTTGAGTATTTTTAAAATGAACGGGACGTTTTCTTTTAACGAGCAAGTTGACATGCTGTTAGTGCTATGCCTATAACTCCTTAGGGAAGCAACTTGGTATAGAGGTAAGTTGCGTTAAATTGCCATATTTTGGGACCCCCTACATGCCCCTGCCCTATGTCGGTTGTTATGTGAATCACCCTGTATATTGATGATGAAACAAGATTCAAAGTCAATATGAAAAAATATATACTCATGACACTATAAACGGAGCAATTTCATTTGAATACTTGGAATGATTTTATTTCAACTATTATGTTATATTGACATAACTCCTTAATTAGTTGTTTTTTTATTGTTATTTATACAGGGTGTAACTGAATAAGTGTAAAACATTTAAGGAGATGATTCCTCATCGAAAAAAAGATAGGATCTTTCATATAAAGAAACTTCATTGGAGCATCCCTTGTTAAGATACAGCCCCTTAAAGGGGGTACATAAAATTTGTATAACAATTTTTTTCACAAACACTGAAAAAGTTACAATATTGAAATTAACCTGACGTTTTGTACTACCAAAAAGACACTTAGCCAGTAATTTATTTGGTTTACCCCATGGTTGTAAGGGGTGAAAAACGCAACCCCTAAAATTTATTTCCAATGTAACTTTTTGTTTTATTATTTGTTTACCATTTAAAAATTTATTTCCGATAGCCTGTTTCATTCTAAACAAAAAATGTCTCTTGGGTTTTTTGCCCAAAATAAACCAGTAAGCAGCAAAACATTATTTTACGAACAACTACAGAGATACATCGTCATAAATGCGAAAATACGAAACTAATCTATCTAGTAGGTCGCTATTAGCGATAGTGACAATCAAATTGGTATGACGCTGTCAGGTTAATTTCAATATTGTAACTTTTTCAGTGCTTGTGAAAAAAATTGTTATACAAATTTTATGTACCCCCTTTAAGGGGCTGTATCTTAACAAGGGATGCTCCAATGAAGTTTCTTTATATGAAAGATCCTATCTTTTTTTCGATGAGGAATCACCTCCTTAAATGTTTTACACTTATTCAGTTACACCCTGTATATATCATATGCTTATATATCCCTATAATTAACAACATGTGCACATACCTTGAAGGTGCACATCAACTCGCCCACTTTGACAGGAGAGTCTTGCTTGTTGTCGTTGGTGAGGTCCAAGGTGAGATCCAGGAAATCGCAGCGGCCGTTGAAGTGGAACAGCAGCAAGAAGAGATCCAATTTCTTTTCGCCGATGGTCGTGTCTTTCCGGAAGAAGCTGTTGTGGTCTCTGATCGCGAAGTTTATCTTGGACCGAGGCGTCACGAGCACCGTGAACGTTTCGTTCCATTTCGGCTGGGTGGTGGTCTTAACGTTTTCGGTTTTCAAGGGGGTTTTGTCGTCTACCGTGATTTCGACATAGGGGGTGGGTTTCAATGTGAGGACACTGCCCGATCTCAAATGAGCGCATTCGACTGAAAAGATGCAGGCCAATGTAATATTCACACTGGCACAATTAGGGGAACGGGCAAAATTTACACTAACTTTGACATCAATTTTCTCTCGAACCGATCGCTTGATTTAATTTTTTTTTTCACGAATTGTAGCTTTATTCTTCACGAATACATCTGAGAAATATCCACCTTCAAACGATTCGTCTTTATACCTATTAAGATTGGTGTCCCTCAAGGATCCATATTGGGACCAATATTTTTTATTATTTTCATCAACGACCTTCCAAAATATGTGAATCCTCATGCAATGATATTATATGCCGATGATACTACGATTGTGAATACTGGTCGGGATATAAATACATTGAGTCTGGAAAACCGGGGAAACCGCAACAAAATCGTCTGAATGGTTTTCAGCAAACAATTTAAAACTTAATACAGGAGAAACCAATGAAATATTTTCCTTCAATCATGAACAACAAAGAAGTGTCAAATTAATAGGCATCCACATTGATACAAAATTGAACTGGAAAGATCACATCGATTACACAGCAATGAAATTGAATAAAGCAGTATACCAAATTAGAAATCTAATGGAATTCACCACAGTGGATACTGCACTTACTTTTGGGGAAACTCCGTGGGCAGTGACAGAATCTTCAAACTCCAAAAAAAAGTCGTGAGAGTATTGGGGAACGCTGGTTACCGAGATCATTGCAAACCGTTATTCAAAAAGTTGAATATTCTAACTTTACCTCCGGCTTTCATCTTACAATGTGTCATGTTTGTAAAGGAAAATGAGAACTCTTTATCTTCGAATTCATCCTACCATGATTATGATACTCGGAACAAGAGATCCTTGAGTATACCTTAACGCCGGCTTCAAAAAACGCAACAGCCAATTAATTATACATCTCCCAAGCATTTCAACAAATTAGCGATTGTACTGAAAAATGCACAGATCAGAAAATTCAGAGCAGCAATTGTGAACATTTTACTAAACAATGCCTTCACATGATGAATATCTTGACTTCTTTTACGAGACATCACTGTGATTTTTATTTTTTATTTTTTTTTCAAATTGTCAAGTCTTATATTGTACTTTTTGATAACGTTTTATATACACATATATGTATCTCAGTTTTATTTTGAATTGTGATCGTTTCATATTTTCTGTACATGACAACCTAAAATGTATTCTAAACATAGGTAACTGGGGTGTGATGAGAGTACGAATTTTTCGGTATTTTTAAAGACATCCTGTGGAGTGAACCATTGATAATTGAAACGGTTTCTCAACATCAAATTGTAGCCCAATCTATTCCGAATATTCTCGTTCTTTATTCATTTTGATATCTCAATTATTCAAGAAAATACAGGGTTTCAACGAAAAAGTGGATATTGGTATTAATTTTACCACCTCGAAAATGGTTCAATCTATGGTTTTACCTATCGGTTTACTGTTTAAAGACACATAAACGAATACTCTTATGAATATGCAGGGGCGATGAAAGTTGCTTCAATGTCCTTTTGGTGAAATGCTATTTTTGGTAATTAACTTGGCTATTTTGTTTATGTCATTAATGGGCTTATATCACAAAAAAAAATTATTTCATAATTCGATAGAACTCGCCCAAACTAGCTCACCACCGCAAACCGTTTCTTGCTGTGAGCTCCCTACGTTTTATAAAAAATTATTAAAATCCCCGATTTTTCGGACCTCTGAAAACGAGGCGATGATGTGACGTCAAAACCCTAATACTGAAACAAGACTATTCCAGACAGAGATGAATGATACATGATTTCTGACAGAGTAGCGCGAGATCACAGTTGAAATAATTAATAATTATGTCAGTTGCCTCAGTCTCCGTCGGGCGTTTGGTATTTTCTTTTAAGTATGGCGAGATGACGTTTCTACGTCAAAGTGGCTAAATAGGTATTTACTCGAGCGTCATGGGGACGTATCCGATTGTGAAGATTAGATGCGAAAATAAAAAAAGGTTTATATGATATATGACCTTTCAATGGTGGGGAGAACCTGTACAGTTGTTCAAAAATGTAAAAGAAAAACAGTCACATAGAAATACTCGAGCGCATCAGATATTAATAGTGTATGCACCCCACCTGTTTCTGATAACCGAAAAATAATAATCTGATGGTTTGCATGGTGGGGGTGACCGTATGAAGGGATAGAGAATAGGTACAAAAGATTGTATTTGAGCGCGTCAGATATTGAGAAAAGTCATGATCAATTTTTGAAAATGAAAAAAAAACGTGACCTTGAAATACTCGAGCGCGTCCTTCATCTTAATGTCCTTGTTGTATGGGCCCATAATCTGATAATTATGTAGAGGAATTACCTTAATCTGACGGTTGGATTTGTTTTTGTTAACTGAATGTAATAACTAAAATATAAAATATACATGGTTTCTCTATAGAAAAATTAATCTTGCCAGGCGTGTATATGCAATCACTCTGCACAAGCACTACACTTAACCAAAATGAACATTATTCAGATATGAAGGTATCATTTTTTGATATAATAAACCATCAATGAAAACTTGAAAGTTTGAATTTTCTCATAATAATTTGGTATAACTTACCATAAATTTCAATTTTTATCATAATTTGAACTGAAGAAATCAAATATTCTTATCATTTGATTAAAGTTAAACACTTCATTTATATTCTTCCTAGAGAGCATCTTAAGTTAGTGCCTTAGATGTCAGCTATTGAATAAACTTGAATTCCTCATGTAATATCTAAGGCATAATTGGCCTAACCTATTACAAGTACTGGACAAAAAATAGGATCCAAATTATACAATGAATGTGATTGAAAACATTCTCAACTGTTTTTATTGTGTTTTGTTGTTCTTTGAAGTGGCATATGATTTATTTTGTATGGTAACTTTGTTTATGAAATGTTGACAAAAAAACGGAAAAACAAATTAAACAAAAAAACAATACCACAAATTACAATAAATAGTATATTCAACTAGCTACAGCAAAATTACAACAGTGTGAATACAGCATGCATTATTTGTCAACAGAAAAGATAATATAATCTAAACTTATACTTATTGGTTTGAAACTATTTGTTTTGTCTATAATCACCTTATTTTTCCTAAGCTTCAAAATTTAATGACTAATATGGAGCAATCAATCTATTGCTTCACTATGAGCTGTTATGAATTAAAATTTTGAACATCATAGTAAAAAAAATAAGCTAGTGATATATTTATGTAATACATTCCTACATATATACTCTTTAAGAAAAGGCTATAATCAAAACATTATATGAAGTCAGAAATACATTACCATTTCTGGTTATCATGTTGTTGAAATTACTCAGATAAGCAATGGAAAGGTAGGTAACTACATACATTGTATTAAATACATCATACACAGATATTATCCAGATATAAAAAACAAGATATTATCCCTTTGTATATTTACCAAGACATACCCTATGTATTTCTCAAGAGGTAAATTAGATCTGGTGTGAACTTGTTGTGAAGTTGTATATGTAGCCTAGCAAGGTACACAAAATAGAAAAGGATTTCTACTAACCTGTGATACTTAGTTGATGGAACCCAGCTCCAGATACATTGGCCTGAGCTTGTTCCATTTCAAACAAAAGTAAACATCTGAAATAAAGAGGGAAACCTTAATGTTTTGATGCAATTAAGAATGAAATCATGTCTGGGCAATTAGCTTGCATAACTTTTTGTCGACAGGTTTTCTAATTTCCACATGAGCAAATTTTATGGAAGAACAATGTTTCACAAGTAGGTAGGCAGGCATAATAAACACAACTTGGTACAAAAACGGTGTCCCTTCAATGGTATTTCTCAAACACACACTACTGAGATTAGTCGATGAAGATTATAATTTTTATCAGACTGTTGAATTGAATGCCATAATTATTGTAGATAAAGAAAATGTAGTGATAAAAAATGGGAATTTCACTCACCAAACGCTGACGTAAGGTATCATTACACAATGCAAAAAACATATATATTATGATGATAAATTGATGCAGCAATGAAATGCTGCAGTTTCAGATTTCAAATTTGGCAAATTTTATAAACTCAAGCATTTGGGGACAAAAAATATTACAAATCACGAGAACTACGAAATTTTCACTGACAATGACAACAAAAATGTTTCCTCCTACTCTCCCCTAATCATCATTAATTAGAAAATGACATATCATTATGGCATATGACAAATGAAAACAATTTCACAGAACGCATTTTTTCTGAGTTTCCGTGTCACATAAATCACATGGTCTTCATTGACTATCTTACTCAACCACAAGTACCACAACCAGTTTTTTAAATCTAAAAATTAGATTATTAGAATATTCCCACTTCCCACTTGAAAGTTGAAAATAACGTTGAATATCACTGCACCAAGGACCCCCCCAGACTCCAAAAAAATGGTACAGTGGTAGCGAAAAACATATTTCTAGATCTTCCGGACTGCTATTCTTACAGCTGTGGCCGGCGTTGGTTATAGTTCAGTAGTTCAGATTGTTACGTCAGTTTGAACGTTGGTTATCAGAAGTGACATGGAACAAGGAGTATGAGAACTTCTTGTACTTCTTGTAATCTTGTTCCATGTCACTTCTGAGGACTTCTGTTTTATTTTCACAGAACTCATATATTATAATATATGAGTTCTGTGTTTATTTTCCTAAAATATTGTTTTTGTTTTGGATTTGGAAGATAATCAATAATCCATTATAGTTCCATAAACAAACTACTATAGTTCCAACAGATTTTTTAACTGAAATAATAATGAAGAACACATTCATTCTTCCAGATTTGGAACGTTTACTGTACGGTTTTCTGCAATCCAATAAATGAAGAAAAAAAAGTTCTCAAATATATATTTTAGGGAAGTTCCAGGAATCACAGGAGATAAAGTAGTTATCATCTCAATAATAGGCAAAACCCCATATAACTCCTCAGGGCTGAAAATTCAATCAATTGGCAGGATAATACCTACATTGGATCAGAAAGATCTTGCAGAAGTAAATACTATTATAGTACATTATTAGTATGATCACTACATTATTAGTTTTATTTTAGTGTTCCATTGAAGGATCATATGACCAAGAGAATCAAATAGTTTATCTACATCTCTACAGCCTATTAGATGCAGATGCATTTTTAAGAAACTATCAACAACTTTGTGAAGAATGCATCACTGAACGGAACTGTGATGATTTTCTAGCAATTTATGATGAAGTGAAGAGTAGCTTTGCAAGATACTTACTACTCTTGTTTCATATAAGTCATATTGTGGTACTTTCTCACCCAACTGCTACAATGGATACTAATTATATCCAGTATTTCAAAGCAGTAGATACATTAAGGTTGAATGTGTAATTTGGAACTTGTTGTGGTGCTAAAAGAATTGTTTTTTTTAGTCAGAAATTATTTGAAAAAATAACACACCACTTGAAATCTGTAGATAATATAAGTTCTGAATGGGTAGCTAATGGGAGATTTTGCACCCCTAGACTGATTTTCCATTTTGAGAGGTGTCCAAAGAACATAGGCAATGTGAAGAAATTAGAGCATAATTTGGAGGATAAAATATACCACATTCTTAAGAAAACTAGAATTATCAGTACCACAGGGTATAAAAACACTAAATCAATTTGAAAAATTCAGGTATAATTTCATGTAATTATTGTAGCTGTTCTTTATTAGCCATACCCCTGAATGATGAATTTGTTTACATATCAGAAAAAGCAAGTCCTAATGATAGGTTAGGAGAGATGGTAAGAGGTCTGATAGCTGATTGTCAGCCTGGTGGAGGCATTCATGTTGAAGTGCCCTATTCCAGTCAACCAAATCTCCAGAAAAGCTTCAAGAGATTCCTACAAACTCACATAGAACAGGCTAGAACCAGAGGTTTTGATGATACTGTCAGCTCTGGCAGACATCAGCATGCACAATCAATGCATTTTGAGGTGAATATCTGAAAAAGACACTTCTATTTTGTTTATAATATCAATTTTAATGTGGCAGCTCCCAGTTCTCAAGCAATGGATTCAAGCTACACAGATACTCTACAAGATTGTCATTAAAAAGAAGCTTATTACATCCTTGTGCACTGACACACGCTTCTCTGAACAGAGGTGCCTCAAGGTTCTTCCCTTGGCCCTGGCAAGGTATCAGGAAGGGCTCCCTAGTCATTATGCCAAAGTTGAACATGAAGCAAGGTATTTGCTTATTCTGAAACCACAAAATAAAACAAAGAATTTTGATTATTCTTCCTCTGAACTACTATGCAAAATTGTAGATTGGGGATGGCTCTGGCACTATTTAGAGCCCAAGCAAGGGGACCTGTTTTTGATAGATATGCAGAACAACTTGAGATGGAGTGCCAGGCCCATTGGGAGAACGGGCGGCAGCAATGTGAAGCTGCCAGTATGACTGGCAATCCCTGTAAACTACCAAAACATACTGCTGAGCAGGATCATATGAGTGGATTTATTCATAAGGGTGAGACAGCAGAGTTGCAAAAACTCATAATTTTTTTTTTAATCATCGAATTTTTGTACATACTGGTGAAAGCAGACTTATTAGTGAAAAAGTCAGTGCATGGATATCCCTTCCTTTATGAGTTTTTTTCATCATTTTCACTTGCACTATCTCCTTATTATAAAGTTATTTTTGATTTCTATATTGATAACTCACTCTAGAACTTTCACATGATATAATAATCGTTTTGTTCAGGATTTTTATGACAAATTATAAAATGAAACCAGCCATTATCAGAATATGTGATGAAGTTGACTTTACTGGAGAATTTCAAATTTTCAATTTGAAGCATTTCATCTTCTCAATACCTCCAATATGGTTTAATATTTTTGGGTGCTTTACCTCACTTCCTTAGAGCTTTCCGGAAGAAAGTCTTGAGAGCTATGTATAATGTGTCCCCAATAACATCATAAACCACTTTTTAAAATATCAAGAGATTCTGACATTACCTAGTCTTTTTATTCTTAACTCAATTCTATATTTCAAAAGAAAATGAGCAAGCTTTCCTCAAAAATGAAGTTATAGGCTACTTTCACCAACAGGTCTCTGACTACAGTAGTCAGACCACAACAAGCAGTATAACTGTTAATATGCATTTTGATTTCCATGGCTATTGTGTTTCATTAGTTGAATTATAATACATAACAAATATAAGATTTTCCAAATGAATTGAATATAATTGGAAATAGGAATGGAAAACTCATCACCTGTCATTGGTTTCTGGTCAGGTTTCTTCATTTGTGCTATTTTTTCATTGCCTTTGCTTCTTCGATCTTAAACATAGTTTATATTAAATATCATATTTCAAATGGATTGGAAATTGAAATTATACGACTTACATTGAATATGAAACTGAAATATATACGAGAACTATCTTCAAATTATGTTACCTGTCGTGTCTCCATTGAGACATATAGGTGATTTTGAAGAAAGGGAGATGATGGTCCCTCCACCACCCCTACTAGAATGTAGGCTACTGAACAGAGTTTCTTTTAATGACAATAATTTGACTACTAATGTACTCGAATCATCAACTTGATTCATCAAAGTATCTGCCTGTCGGCCTGCCTTTGGGAAACAGAATTTTGAAAAAGTATTCCATCTCCCTCTCTTCTTTTCCTCCTCTGTCTTCTCTTTCTCTTCTTTATTCAGTTATACTATAAAAATGCAGAATTCAGAAAATGCAAAAATGCGAAATTCTTCACCCGTAGCTGGTTTCTGGTCTATGCTATTCTTCGATTGGGCTTTGATCGATTCATAGCAGGGTTCTTCTTCGATCTAAAACATAGGTGGAATTAAATCCCGAATTTTGGATTGATTGAGAATTGAAATTATGAAAGTCACATGGAATAAGAAACTAAAATATATGAGAAAACTGTTTTCAAATTCCGTTGCTGGAACGCGACATATGAAAAATGAACGGGACAGATAGCCAACAGTTTTCTCCTGAATGAGAAACACTGTATATACCTAACCCATCAGGCGCCTACCCCGGTTGCAACGAGGGTTTACCGATGCCAAGGGTTGATAGTCTCCCCTCGTAAGGGTACCTGTCGTGTCTCCATTGAGACATAAAGGTGACTATCACAAAATGTTCTGTGATATATCGCCTTCCATAACAAATATAAAATTTGGAAGAAATATTCGAAATGACATGAATATAATTCGTAGATACCACCACCGGTTCGCTGGTTTTCAGTTTGGATAAATCTTCTGTGCAATTTTTCCGTAGATTAATAACACGTCGTTTCTTCGATCTAAAACATAGTTCATATTAAACATCGTATTTCAAATGGATTGGAAATTGAAATTATACTACTTACATTGAATATGAAACTGAAATATATACGAGAACTATCTTCAAATTCTGTTACCTGTCGTGTCTCCATTGAGACATATAGGTGATTTTGAAGAAAGGGAGATGATGGTCCCTCCACCACCCCTACTAGAATGTAGGCTACTGAACAGAGTTTCTCTTAATGACAATAATTTGACTACTAATGTACTCGAATCATGAACTTGATTCATCAAAGTATCTGCCTGTCGGCCTGCCTTTGGGAAACAGAATGAAAAATTATTCCATCTCCCTCTCTTCTTTTCCTCCTCTGTCTTCTCTTTCTCTTCTTTATTCAGTTATACTATAAAAATGCAGAATTCAGAAAATGCAAAAATGCGAAATTCTTCACCCGTCGCTGGTTTCTGGTCTATGCTATTCTTCGATTGGGCTTTGATCGATTCATAGCAGGGTTCTTCTTCGATCTAAAACATAGGTGGAATTGAATCCCGAATTTTGGATTGATTGAGAATTGAAATTATGAAAGTCACATGGAATAAGAAACTAAAATATATGAGAAAACTGTTTTCAAATTCCGTTGCTGGAACGCGACATATGAAAAATGAACGGGACAGATAGCCAACAGTTTTCTCCTGAATGAGAAACACTGTATATACCTAACCCATCAGGCGCCTACCCCGGTTGCAACGAGGGTTTACCGATGCCAAGGGTTGATACTCTCCCCTCGTAAGGGTACCTGTCGTGTCTCCATTGAGACATAAAGGTGACTATCACAAAATGTTCTGTGATATATCGCCTTCCATAACAAATATAAAATTTGGAAGAAATATTCGAAATGACATGAATATAATTCGTAGATACCACCACCGGTTCGCTGGTTTTTAGTTTGGATTCATCTTCTGTGCAATTTTTCCGTAGATTAATAACACGTCGTTTCTTCGATCTAAAACATAGTTCATATTAAACATCGTATTTCAAATGGATTGGAAATTGAAATTATACGACTTACATTGAATATGAAACTGAAATATATACGAGAACTATCTTCAAATTCTGTTACCTGTCGTGTCTCCATTGAGACATATAGGTGATTTTGAAGAAAGGGAGATGATGGTCCCTCCACCACCCCTACTAAAATGTAGGCTACTGAACAGTTTCTCTTAATGACAATAATTTGACTACTAATGTGCTCGAATCATGAACTTGATTCATCAAAGTATCTGCCTGTCGGCCTGCCTTTGGGAAACAGAATTTTGAAAAATTATTCCATCTCCCTCTCTTCTTTTCCTCCTCTGTCTTCTCTTTCTCTTCTTTATTCAGTTATACTATAAAAATTGCAGAATTCAAAAAATGCAAAAATGCGAAATTCTTCACCCGTCGCTGGTTTCTGGTCTATGCTATTCTTCGATTGGGCTTTGATCGATTCATAGCAGGGTTCTTCTTCGATCTAAAACATAGTTCATATCAAACATCGTATTTCAAATGGATTGGAAATTGAAATTATACGACTTACATTGAATATGAAACTGAAATATATACGAGAACTATCTTCGAATTCTGTTACCTGTCGTGTCTCCATTGAGACATATAGGTGATTTTGAAGAAAGGGAGATGATGGTCCCTCCACCACCCCTACTAGAATGTAGGCTACTGAACAGAGTTTCTTTTAATGACAATAATTTGACCACTAATGTGCTCGAATCATGAACTTGATTCATCAAAGTATCTGCCTGTCGGCCTGCCTTTGGGAAACGGAATTTTGAAAAATTATTCCACCTCCCTCTCTTCTTTTCCTCCTCTGTCTTCTCTTTCTCTTCTTTATTCAGTAATACTATGAAAATGCAGAATTCAGAAAATGCAAAAATGCGAAATTCTTCCCCCGTCGCTGGTTTCTGGTCTATGCTATTCTTCGATTGGGCTTTGATCGATTCATAGCAGGGTTCTTCTTCGATCTAAAACATAGGTGGAATTAAATCCCGAATTTTGGATTGATCGAGAATTGAAATTATGAAAGTCACATGGAATAAGAAACTAAAATATATGAGAAAACTGTTTTCAAATTCCGTTGCTGGAACGCGACATATGAAAAATGAACGGGACAGATAGCCAACAGTTTTCTCCTGAATGAGAAACACTGTATATACCTAACCCATCAGGCGCCTACCCCGGTTGCAACGAGGGTTTACCGATGCCAAGGGTTGATACTCTCCCCTCGTAAGGGTACCTGTCGTGTCTCCATTGAGACATAAAGGTGACTATCACAAAATGTTCTGTGATATATCGCCTTCCATAACAAATATAAAATTTGGAAGAAATATTCGAAATGACATGAATATAATTCGTAGATACCACCACCGGTTCGCTGGTTTTTAGTTTGGATTCATCTTCTGTGCAATTTTTCCGTAGATTAATAACACGTCGTTTCTTCGATCTAAAACATAGTTTATATTAAATATCGTATTTCAAATGGATTGGAAATTGAAATTATACGACTTACATTGAATATGAAACTGAAATATATACGAGAACTATCTTCAAATTCTGTTACCTGTCGTGTCTCCATTGAGACATATATTAGGTGATTTTGAAGAAAGGGAGATGATGGTCCCTCCACCACCCCTACTAGAATGTAGGCTACTGAACAGAGTTTCTTTTAATGACAATAATTTGACTACTAATGTACTCGAATCATGAACTTGATTCATCAAAGTATCTGCCTGTCGGCCTGCCTTTGGGAAACAGAATTTTGAAAAATTATTCCATCTCCCTCTCTTCTTTTCCTCCTCTGTCTTCTCTTTCTCTTCTTTATTCAGTTATACTATAAAAATGCAGAATTCAGAAAATGCGAAAATGCGAAATTCTTCACCCGTCGCTGGTCTCTGGTCTATGCTATTCTTCGATTGGGCTTTGATCGATTCATAGCAGGGTTCTTCTTCGATCTAAAACATAGGTGGAATTAAATCCCGAATTTTGGATTGATTGAGAATTGAAATTATGAAAGTCACATGGAATAAGAAACTAAAATATATGAGAAAACTGTTTTCATTCCGTTGCTGGAACGCGACATATGAAAAATGAACGGGACAGATAGCCAACAGTTTTCTCCTGAATGAGAAACACTGTATATACCTAACCCATCAGGCGCCTACCCCGGTTGCAACGAGGG